CGGAGTTATGGAGCATTTATTACTGTACTAATACTCGTACTTAATTTTAACCAAGTAGCTAGTAATAAAGTCCCCTGTGTTTATATTCATTCAGATTGATTTACTGTGGGTGTTTTTTCTGGTTGTGGAATTGTATTTTGAATTTTGATACTGCCAAGTACTCGTTATAATAATACATTAATACAGGATATGCGTCAATTCTAGTTGATTTGTTTAAATTTGATCTCGTCCCATGAATGTGAAATATCTTTAAACCATGATATTCGTATAGCTAAACTATAATTAAAATTTGTTTAGTTATTTATTTTGGAATTCACAGTCTATATGTATTCATTTTTTTCAGAATTCAGAGGTGTCTTCACGTATTCATTTTATGACCCATTGACCCACACTTGTGCATGTTTGGTAAGTTTAAACCCCCACCTTCTAGTTTTTTATATGGAGGATTTTTTTTTTAAATTAAGATTTTTTAAAACAAAGAATAAGCTTTAATCACAGACAATTCTTTTCTTTTAAAATCTATTCATAAATTGCCCTAAATAGGAGTAAAAACATTTTGAAATTCCAAAATAGGAGTATCATGTTTTTTATTCCCTGAATAGGAGTAATCTGCCAAGTTTGGGAAAAAATGCCATGTTTAAAGCCTTGTAATGTCAAACTTGGCATAAATTTACTCCTATTTAGGGAATAAAAACATGATACTCCTATTTTGGAATTTTAAAATATTTTTACTCCTATTTAGAGAATTCTCTCAAATCTATTCGATCACTAAAAGTTACGGTTATTGATATTTTCCATTTTCAGCTCGAAACCTTATAAAAGAAGTGAACTGATTTCACCTATATTTGTTACCACGTATGACGTACCATCCGCATATGTATACTCACAAGTCTAACTGAATGATCGAATTGAATCAAATTGTTAAGAATTGGGGTTCCATACTAATAGGTCAACCTGTTAGGAGGAATAGCTTATGTGTTAATATAGCACTCTGTTCATCCAAACTTTTCCGGTGGGACATTTAACACCCCTCCTCACGACCAGAAATTTCGTCTGGATCGTGCAATCACTCATTCTTTTTTCATTGGTCCGTTTTTTTTTTCATCTGGCCGTAATTGTCAATTTTTTTATAATTGTGTCATAATTTTTCATAAGGGGCCCACTCCATGGATCAATTTGGCTCTGATACCATGTTAAGACCTGGGGTTCCATCCTAAAAGGTCAACCTGTTAGGAGGAGTAGCCCATGTGTTAATATAGCACTTCGTTCATCCAAACTTTTCCAGTGGGACATTTAACACAAATGATCCAAAGAGATTTATAATGTTCTTTCTTTTTGAACATATGGAATTAAAGCTATGTGTGATCCCTCCCTAGTCATTCTAAAGATCTAATTGTGTGCCTAGCTATACTTCTCCATAAATATGGCATTAACAAGGATCGTTTTTCTTTCATATTTAAGTAGTAGAATTTCTATGATTTCACAACAATGATTGTTTTTATGGCATGAACAAGAAATTCATCTCGATCTTCTTGACACTATATACTATCGTATGTCTTATATTGTTGTAAGAGATTATTTTCCGCTTTTAAAGTCTCGGTTCAAGTAAAAGGGATTAAAACAATGACAAAGATAAAAATGAAGTCAACATGCATGTTGATAACACATTGTTGCTATAAAAAATTGATGGTTGAGCACATACTAGCTTTGGTCAAAGGTTATCCGGATGCAAGAGGTCAACCAATGAACCAAATATTTTAGTGGCATATATTCAAATATATTTCACTCGATCTTTAATGGATTTCAACAACTAATTCATTCGAGGGATGAAAGTTTGCCAAGGACTAGGAGGAGCCTTTATAAAAAGGAAAAGATTGTTTGAGAGGGAGCATACGGATATGAAAATAGTGAAGGACAATCAATAGTAATTACAGGACACATATGGAACTGCCATCATTTGAAGAAACAATATTAGTAAACTCTCTTAAGTTCTGATGTAAAAACTGAAAAACAAACTTTATTTATAAGAAGTTTTTATAGGCTATAATGCATTGAAGCAAGATGAGTCAAAGCTCTCTAAGTAAAAATCAATGTCTAGAAAAAGCACTCAGAATCACGGAGTAGAACTATCTCAAACTAATTTTCGCTCCTCTGAGTAGAACTATCTCAAACTAATTCTAGCTCCTCGGAGATTAATATTTATCTCTCAGATGTTCATTTCTCTTAAGGGGTAGAACCTTGTCGATGAAATAATTATCCTTAACGGTCAAATGGGAGGTCAAAATCTGGAGTTCGAAGGGTCGTGTTCGGTCAGAGTTGCTGAAGGACCAATGGACCATAAACTGGAGTCCAGGACTTGGGCAGTATCGCACAATGATCATCAAATACCTATTTATTATGTTTAATGTATTCTATATCTCGTAACTAACAATAATAGTTCAAATTAAAGGGAAAAGTACGGAAAAAGTATTTGTGGTTAGACCCGTTTTCAGATAGGGTCATATGTTTCATTCTTTATCAGAGTGGTTTATGTGTTTGAATTCCATTATCACAAGAGGGTTACACCGTTAAAAACGTCTCAAAAAGACCGTTAAAAGTAACTCCGATTTTCAAAAGTGGTCGAAAAATTAAAATAAAAATATCGGAAGGTGCGCCTCAATAAGACGACCGCTAGGCCATCTTTATTCTTTGTTTTCAGCCACCCTTGTCACCGGAAAGTCCACCGGAAAAGTGATATTAGCGAAATCATTTTAAAAAGTAATTCAAACAAATCTGAAAAATTCAAAGGCGAAAGTGGTTTGGAGGTCATCATGATGAGGCGCACCTTTCGGTATTTTTCTTTTAATTTTCCGAACACTTTTGAAAATTGGAGTTACTTTTGACGGTCTTTTTCAGACGTTTTTAACGGCGTGACCCTCTTGTGATAACGGAATTCAAACACATGAACCACTTTGATAAAGAATGAAACACATGACCCTATCTGAAAACGGGCCAAACCACAAATATTTTTTCCGTACCTTTTCCTAGTTCAAATTAATGATATGATGTAGTTAAGTGCTTGACCATTTGGTATGGATGGACACGGTCCGGTACCGGTCTCGGACCAACTCTTGGAGAAAAATTTTGAAGCCCAGTACAGGGGCCTATATTTCCAATTCCAAACCCCCCTTTAGTCACAGTCTAGTCCCGTTTTTTATATATATTTACCCTGCATCTTCTTCCCCAGTCCCTCCATGCTATTTTTCAGCTTTTAAATGTACCCAGCCTTCTTAAAATGCTTCACATTGGTTCAATTGCATATTAAAAGTGAGACTAGATCCAAACATTCAGGCTTGAGACATCTTTTTTGTCGGTCTAGTCTCGTCCCTCGACCCGTAACTCTATTTTTAGACCCCAAATCGAAAATCGACCAGTTCTAATCTAAAAACGAATTGAGCTACTTTGTGATATCCATTCTCTTTAATTTCATATTTTCCACTTAGTCATTCTTAAGCCCATTCTATTCATGCCCTTGATAAGCCCTTTTTAATAAGGCTTAATGACCGGTCAACCTGACTAACGTAACAACCGTGCCGATTCCACAACATCTCAAGTATTCCCTTTTAGCCAAGTGTTCTACTCGACTAACGGAGTGGGGACTCGTGTTGGGATAATGGCTGGGTTCAACACTATCGGCCCGTTATACCCGAGATTTGGCTTGACCAGGCTCAAACACAGTCTGCCTAGCGGAATTGGTCCAGAATTGTTTAATTATTCATCTTGTCGGCCAGCCCATTAACGTCACTATTAGTTTATAAATTGGGCCAAGCCCACATAGCATTTACTAATGGACTTGTTGTAAATGCTTACAAATAGGTCATCAACCCTCCCGTAACCACTTACACTATTCTTTTCATGGAGTATATTGTCATATACCCCAGGAGTCTCAACATTTATGCTAAGCAGTCTCCGAAATCCTCTAAGGCAAATTCGGGCCCTCTGAGGCCTAGCTTAAGACCAATATTCATATCTACAGCCGAGGCTGGCCCTCAGGCGAGGTTAAGGGCATTTTCACCGCTATGGCCGAGCCTAAGGCCAAACCCGACATCACGTTCTCGAGATCAAGCAAAGACAATCTCATTTATCATTGTGAGCCGAGGTTCCTCACCTCTGAGCTAAGCACTCATACTCGAGTTCGCTTCTCTACACTTAAGCCGACCTGAGCTCAGGACCTCATATAGGAATTATGGACTTAGACATTTTAGCACTGAAATCACACATTATTTAAGGATTTCGTCACCTCACAACAATTATCTCAGGACTGACATCACATAGTTCGGTTACAACAGTCATCTTCCATGTTTTTACTTCTGGCTTATCCAACCATTCTGGTACACAAAGGACAAAAGTCAGTACAACAGTTTCCATCAACCAATCAATCAAGAAATTTAAAACACCAATTAGACTTATGCTTGGCTCAATTGACCAAATATTTTCTTGTACATTACTCTGCCAAATTTCTTACTCAGTTCATACTTAACATAGTTTATGACTCTCTCTCGATTTTACATCACTCCACACTTACCACTTACTAGATTGAATTCTCTCCAAGTTATTTCCTACCAATAAAAGTAAAACATAGCGATACAAAATCAAAATGCCCACTGTCTCCTAGTTTGCATATTGCACGTCAAAGTGTGAAGTGTGATGCATGTAGTCAAATAACCTTTCAAAAATTTTGCCTATTGCGGTTCACCACTAGGGGACATTGCCTATTGCGTTTCGGCTGGTCGCTCGGCACTGATCCGTCCACTTGACAGTCCTGCCGAGTCCACTGCCTGCTTCTCACGAAATAGTTCGGCCCAATACATAAGTAGATTGATACCGAACAGGCTTATTATCCTCCAGCCCAACTATTAAGTAAATGAAATGACTGCAGTGCGTTATTGTTGTCCAGCCCATTAACGATTAAATGGTCTACCACTCTACCACCAGGTCCACCACCAGCCAGCAGTACGTGAGACCGACAGAGAGAGGGACCAATGGCGTCGGCGATGATGAGATCCAGCTTACGCTCCGCTCTTCGTGGCGGTTCCGGCCGTGGAGCTCCAGCTTCCAAGCGCAATTTTTCTTCATCTGCGCATCACGATGAGGCTCGTAAGTTTTGATGTTATGTCCTCTTCCGCCTATTCATTAATTAATTCGTTTAGGGTAGGTTCAGATTTTTTATTTTCTCTTTTTCATTACAGCCAAATTTATGGCCTCGCAAATATTTTTTCCGATAATGATCTTCATGATTCGTGTGGGAAGTTGTTTTTTTCCTTGCTCCGCATACCTCATTTTCAATTTCATACGGTGTGTGATTTAGATCATACTGTATGTATGTCTTTCACAATCAAAATGCATATTTATCGCTGACATTTGACTATTTTGGGGATTTGGATGTCAGAGTGACATTGTTTTGTTTTATGGTTGCGTTTTTGGAACTCAATTGATTTTGAATCATTTCCTCTGAGCAGAGGAAGCAGCCAAATGGGAGAAAATCACTTATGGGGGAATCGTTGCTTGCACTATCCTCGCTGGTGTTATTCTTTCTAAGGGTCACCCCCACCATGATGAGCCTCCTGTAAGCTTACTTTCAGTTTAATCATTGTCTTGTAGAGCAATTAAAATCTCTAGTATCTGTAATCGCGTTTATTTTTCTCTAATATGCTGTGTGATTCGTTTATTTGTATAGCTCAGGAAGCAAATCTGAGTGGAAGGGATCTTTATAATATAATGTATTAGTATATGTATTAGGCCCTTGTTAGAAGAGTTAAGAGTTTCTTTTATTGCATCGGTGCTATTTCAGTATTTTGGTTAATATGCTTAATAGCAATATTGTACTACCTAGTGAATTAGGATCCATAGGAGATTTTCTTCATCAAGAAAACCATACAATTCCAATATCAATTGTATAGACATCTGCAAAATCAAGTCTTGAAGGCTTTTGTCAATTAAGAGAGTTTTCTTCCACTGGCTCTATCAAGGACATGTTTGTGATATCCCAATTACTCTCATAAACCCCGCTTAATTTTGCCTAGGTGGTAGGCCCTTGGTCTACTCTCCAGATGTGTCCTGTGCTTGTTTAGATTAGTGCTATAGATTATTAGTTTACTGTTATAATTCATGGAGTTCAGTTATATTGGTTTTCAACCATTCCTATTTTCAGGCATATCCGTACATGCATATCCGAAACAAGGAGTTTCCATGGGGTAAGTTCAAGTTTACTTGCATTAAGGGAGATCTTGCACTTTTAAAATCGGTTTCTGTTATGTTGTGGTGCTATAAATGGTTGCTAATCCTAGACTAATTAGTTATCTGAAATGATGAACTTGTGAGAATGCAGGTCCAGATGGCCTTTTCGAGACTAAGCACCATTGATAATTCACTACCATCCTTGTCTGCATTAGTGGTTGGTTAACATGTCTTTTGTTAGACGGTTCAAGGCTTCAAACCCGTTCTCAAGATGCTGTCTTGTATTGTATCCAGTACTTGGTTTCTTATAATCTCCATATATTGGAAACAATAATATGTATGTGATAGCTTGAATTTACTCATTCCTTCCAGTTCTTATGTTTATTTAAAATAAAGACATGCAATACATTTATTGAAGTGACTATACACCAAGGCTACTTATGGATTGCCTTCCCATTCCTATCAATCTCTCAGTTGCGGAACAAAGTTCTATATTTAAAGTGTACACATGGGAAAAGTGTTAAATTATCCAAGTATGCTATTTATTTACCTAAAATTGTGTCGCATGTGTGATAACTCTTTCTTGGGATAGTCGGTAATCGGTAATCCCCCAGTTTGGTTTCGAAAAATCCAAAAATTCCTTTTGAAACTGGAGGCATCACAATATCACATTCCTGAAGGCTGAAGCCAGTAATCTAAAACTACATAAATAAATATTTATAAAATGGTTTCTAAGACTACACGTCTATCTACTCCATATGTTGTTATGCGATGCTGCTTAGTGGTAGAAGATGGGGAAAAAGTGAAAAATAACATGTAAACTAAAAAACAGAAAACAGAAAAAAGACAGATGTCCTGTTACTCAGTTGCTTCTTGGCTTTTCCCTTCAGTTTCTGTCTGGCGCATAGTTTCCAAATCAGTTCGGGCATCTGTCTCTTCTTGAAGAACCGATGTGGAAGCAGATCCTTCATTTTGGGAGGTTGAAGAAACTGTAGAGTTGTTTTCACCTGGATATGTAGTTTCATCATTGTCATTTGAGGGATTAATTTTTTCTCCGGGACCTCCTGATGATATCTCTTTCAATTCCTCACCCATATCAGTCTGACCATTCAAGATTGAATTTTGCCCATCAGATGTAGAATTTGAATCTGACTTGTCCTGATTGGGGACTTCATTATTATCCCCCTCAGTTTGCTCTTTCAGTGCAGTTTCTTTGCTTTCATCTCCGCTAAATATGACACTGTCCTCCGATTTGTTCCCGGATTGAGTTGAACTAGTGATCAATTCACTTTCCGTCTGTGTAGAATTGTCACCTTCTTTAGATTCCACTATTCCTGCTGTGACATTGAAGCTATCCTCCAAAATGTTTTCACCTTTGCCTCCTCCCAAAGCTTCTGCTGCATTTGTCATATTATACATTTCTTGACCATTTTTCACTTTTGCTGAACCCGAACCCAACCCGTTTTGCTGTCTCTCATGCACCTCTCCTTCTTGTTTTACATTATTTTCTTCTTTAACAACCTCAGTCTCTTCCCTTTCATCTACCTTTTCTTGTTCTTGATCGTTGATAATCTCTGGGGTTTTGTTGTCATCATCAAAACTCTTGTCTTCCTCAGCATCCTGTCCTCCATTCTTGAGATCTTCCGCAGTCATTTGTTCAATACGAGGATCCAGATCCTTTCTCCCCAACTTGATCATGGATAAGCCATCTTGTTTCTCTGGGGTTGTCTTCTTCAGGAGGCTGCTGTCTTGATATGAGGATTTCTTGTTCTGAAATTGATAGATCAGCCAAAGGGAAATGCCTAATAGGACGCATATCTGAAGGGCGTGCTTCACCTTGAATCCGTTATTTCTCTGGTTCCTTCGCGGAGACAGTTTGAACATGATGGTGATGATTTAAAGTGAATCCTACCTAGCTGTTCTTGATTCAGGAAAGGAAAAGAAGAATAAGCTATATTGGTACGAGAGGGGGAAAGAATAATCACCCCTAAGGACACATAATGCCGAGGAAAACCATAGGATAGTAGGTGGTTGAAAATTTTCAGTTTTTATTTTGTTTCTAAGATCCTACTTTTAAGCATGTGACTAGTTAGTGGTTACATGTTATTATCAATAACGGTTGAAATGAGTTGAACCAGGGCAAATTAGGCTGTTATAAATTTGAATTTGGATTAAGATACAAAAATAGTCTACATGCTCTGTAAGACTTCTAATAAAAAATTGTGCTTTGGGTGGTCAGCTAGAAGATAAAAACTAGTCAGACTTGTTTGAAGCTTCATGTAATGAAAGAAGTCAAGATTACACTAGCTTAGTGAATTTAGACTTAAAGAAAATATGGAAAAGATCTTGATTTCATTATATTTATCAAGTTTTTTTTTATGGGAATGGTGGAATGGGTTGATATTTGTGTACCTTTCAAAAAATTCGTTGAATTGAGACCAAATAAATGAGTTAAAAGTTACTATTTCCGTCCGCTAGAAGGTTTCCATAGCAAAACGGCACAGTTATTTAGGTGATAATTAAATAAAGTACTTCGGGTATATTTTAAGAAATAATTTTAATGGGTATATATATTATAATGTGTTAGTATTGATAACTGTGATGTTATAAATGTATTATTTGTAGCATTTAATGACTAATTTGTCACTTAAAATTGTTAATTGTTTCCTAAAATGGAAATGAGAACCTTCTAACGGGACATCCAAAAAAGAAAAGTGGGAACCTTCTAACGGGGCGGAGGGAGTACTTATTATATGTTTTTACTTGAAGTGAAATTTGCTGGTCTGGTCTGGTATAATCTATTTAAGTCTAGTCTGATAATGTTTGGGTCCATATGTATTTTAAAATTATAGAAATCTGATTTAGTCTATCTATTTAAGTCTAGTCTGGTAATGTTTGGTCCATATGAATTTTAAAATTGTAGTTTAGTACTTGAAGTTGCATAAAAAGGGTCAAATAAGTACTTACTATTCGACCGTCGCCATTTGGGGAGGTTCCCGGTGGAATTTTTTGACGAAATTTTTTGAGCATCTTATTTATTAAATCTAGTTTACTCATACCAAATTTCAGCTAAAATCTTCAACCGATAAAGCATTCAAATGAATTCTTGAATATAACTGCGCTTTTAACTGCACAGTTATCTTTAAGAATTCATTTGAATACCTTCCTGGTTAAATTTTTAGCTGAAATTTGGTATGAGTAAACTAAATTTATTGAATAACATGCTCAAACAATTTCGTCAAAAAATTCCACCGGGAACCGCTCCAAATGGCGACGGCCGGACAGAGCCTCCTATATAAGGACTTATTTGACCCCTTTTATTCAACTTCGAGTACCAATCTGACCCTTACCTCCAATTATATGTAATACTCCATCCTTCCCATCTTACCTCGTCTTTATGAGAGTTTCGTATGATATATACTACTCCGTATGTGTTTAATTAATATTATACCGAAAAAACTAAAATATTCCTTTTAAGCTAATCATCTAGAAATTTACTTTCAATCTTAATTATTCACATCGTTCATCATGAATCAGTTTAACATGCAAATAATGCTTGCTCACTCGGACCCCATGTTCTACTCTTCCATCCCATAAAAGGCTCAAATTTCTTAAATTCAACCATTAAATACAAAAGTACGTAGTCTTAAATGTTTGAATGAATAAATATGAAACTGAAGCTAAAAATAAAGGCCCGAAAAGAAACATTACCCAATTTTGATTTTCTCTTTAGCTGAACCCCTCCATGCATAAAAGCCATAAATTATCCCTCAACAATTGTTGGTTCAACCTTACGACCCAAAAGGCCAAAACTATCTGTGTTTGTTTTTTTGCTCCCCGAAAACGTTTATCACTTCACCATAGGTAACGCCGTAACGTCAATGAGGAATCCTAGCACCGACAAGGGAGATAAGATGCAATCTGTGAGAGCTGGCGAGACAGCACACATTCGTAGCTCTTATTTTTCAATTTTGAGTGCATATATATATGCATAATACCGATCCATTTTTTCAAATTTTAGCTATTTTTTGGATTGACATTAGGAATATGATGAAATAAAATAAAATGACACACTAGTTTGTCTATGTGTCTTTGTTATGAATCAACAATCAATGTAATTTCGGCGCATGTTTCATCATGGATCATCTGGAAAACAGTGTATCTATACTTTAATACAATGAAAATAGTGCGTACATTCAACCACTTACCCAAACGCAAGTGGGAACCTTTGCCTCACTGGAGTAGTATTATTGTTGTTATATGTATAATACGTATAGCAATTAAAATGTTGGGCTCCTATTCCTCCTAATTTTATTTAGAGCCCGTTTGGCAACCCTGTTTTTTGGCTTATCAGACTTATCAACCAACTTTTTCACCAAACACGTAAGTTTTGCTTTCGCGCGCTGGATTGTGTAATAAGCAGAAAAAGTAAGGTTGAAGTTACTTTTCTGGCTCTATTGGCTGAAGTTACTGTAGATGACCATTTTAGCTATTTTTACATATAATATTTTCTTTATTTATTAATAAAATATATTTTATAAATAATTTTTACTTATATCAGCAGAATCAGTCAATGCAGCCACTTCAGCCAGAACTTCATAAATTTCAGCAGAATCGGCCAAAACAGCCGATTTTCGTGCTACCAAACGGGCTCTTAGATTTTTATGGCTGTGAGGCCCTAGACTCACAAGCCCTAAGGCAGGACCTTGAATTGTCTCTAACTCCGGGCCCATTTGTTGTGTGAAACATACCCTTTTTTCACTTTAAAGTAAAAAATACTTCGTACTCGGTATTTGATTAAACGTATTTCTCTCTACTCTTTATATATCTCTGTAACACATGCACTTTATTCTTTTATCCATGTAAGTCAATTTTGACTAAACTTTTCCAGGTTATAGCTAGGGAGTATTTTTTTTATTTTTGAATGTAAGTTTCTTTTATTAGTACCCAACTAATAAATAATTGGTTTAAAATACTACCTCCGTTCCATAATACTCCGTACTAATCAAATTTTAAAATTTAGGCTGTGATTTTGATTAATATAATACGTAGTATTATGAAAGTTATAGAGTTTATAGTTTTAAGAAATGATTTTTAACAAAAAATATTTTACAATATAATTAGTCAAACTTTAAAATATGGCTTCTTATTTTACAATGGAGGTACTATTAAATATGCAATGTGTAAAATAATTCCAAGGAGGTAAGTTTGACAAAAACAACGGTTAAGACAAGAAGTCAAAATCACGACGTCAAGTTTGGCTGATTAGTAGGAGCTGGACTGTTACAGTTTCCTGACTTCAATTCCTTGGAGTAGGTTTTGGGGCTGCGGCCTGTGAGCTGGCAAATAAGGAAACGGAACATGCATGTGATAGCCCTAGCTTCAGGAAGTGGTGATTTTGTTGACCTATTCTAAGCTACCCTTTAGACCATATCTAGCTTCTTCAATAGTGATTAGCAGCAACCCATGATCCTTATTAATTCTAAGTAGCTATAGGGTAGGGTGGGGAAAATTCGATCTGTTTTGCT